AGAAAAAGAATGTTTTTGGTATTTTTGTATTTTTTAAGATTTAAAAGAAAAAAAAGAACTTTTTAGAATGAAATTTGAAATGCAAATCCTAATTCTAATGTTTTTAGTTATTATGAAAATGTTATATTAATCTAAATTAAACCCTAATTTTACTTATGTACATTTAATTATAAAAATAAAATAAATAAATAAATAATATTGTGATAAAAAAAGGAAAAATTTAAAAGGTATAAAAAGTCATTAAACCTAATGCTATATTTTTGGATTTTTAGTTATTAAGAAAGTATTAAAATCTAACCTAAATGCAACCCTAGTTTAATTATGAAAATTACTAATATTATGGCAAAAAACAAGGAAAGTTAAAAGGAATAAGAAAAGTCATTAACCTAATGCTATATTTTTGGATTTTTTTATGGAAGAAAGAATTAAAGTTGCAACCTAAATTAATACTAAGTTAATTTACATACAATTTATTTATGAAAATAACTAAAATAAAATAAATATTATATTGTTCTTTTTTTCTGATTTTTGTGTATTTTATAATTTGTAAAGAAATAATAATTAGTTTAAACAAACAAAGAAAATAAAATAAGAATTAAAAATAAAACAAGAAAAATATAGAGAAAGCAAACCAGGGGGGTGCTCAGGCCCCAAAATGGAGGTTTTTGTTTCAGGGCATTATAATCAAATTAAATTGTACCAAAAGCTTCGTACAGTCCCTGTGAGCACAAAACAATCCACAAAATACGTTAATGATGCATGAATCGAAGTATGCGTTTATGGAAAAAATTCAAACCGTGTGACTTGTTCTTGCGTGTTCTTGGAGCTTTATGGCTTGTTTTTTTTTATTCCAATCCGTTCCTGGAAATATCAGCAGTGTGTTGGAATCACTCTAAGGCTTTGAATTGTGCTTGAATGTGGAATTCGGTTTTCAAATTTTCCTTGAATTTTGGAATTTGCTTATGGTGTTCTGTAGCAGCTTGTGCCCTCTTGGCTTTAGGGTTTGCTTCAATATTTATGTTGGAAGGGAATTATGGTACAAACTAGGTCAAAGATCCATGAAATAAGAGAATTAGGTTTAGGTTTTCCACCTTTAACAAACTTTCCCTTTTTTTAAGCAAACCAAGACTTGGTGTACAACATAACCCTAAACTAGGTCAAAGATCCATGAAATAAGAGAATTAGGTTTAGGTTTTCCACCTTTAACAAACTTTCCCTTTTTTTAAGAAAAACCAAGACTTGGTGTATAATCTAACCCTAGCATGAGTTTGTGAGCTGGCACATGATATATGGAAGCTATCCCAATTCAAATGACACTATTTCATTGACTTTTGAATTTTATTTGAATTTTTAAAGATTTAAAATGAATTAAATTATAAAAAATTAAATAAAATAGAAAAATCAATATTTGGTCTTCAAATTAATCATGGGACACGTGTGTGGCATGACAAGGCTGAATCAAGTGGAAGAAAGTGGGCCCTTTTGTAAAAAATTGAAGTTTCAAGGATAGTTGACTTTTGCCATTTCACAAAAATTTCCCAACTTCTACAAGGCATAACTTGCTCAATTTTTAAGCTTTTCTCATGTTCTTGGACATTTTGGAAAGGTCTTTGAGTCCTTTAACCAATGCCTTTGGTCCCATGTCATTTTGATTTACCAATCTCAAGTTATGGTCTTTGACTTAAAGTCCCTTTTTGTTGACTTTTGAAAATGACCTATAATGTTGAAATTGATAACTTTTTGTGAGAGCATTTATTGGACTTGAAGTATGAAGATGAGTTGTAGGAAATGTCTTTCTCTTCAAAATGAGCTTTGGATGGAATTTTTCTGATAATCCATGTGAAAGTTATGCCCTGGTCAATTTCAGTTGACTTTTTCAGCTGTCCAAATATAGCAACTTTTGCATCTTTGATGATTTCTGAGCCAAATTTTGAGAATCATGATCAAGCATTTATCAAATGATGTTTGTGGCTTCAAAATGATATGTTGACCAAAAATTTGAACTTTTGACTGTCAAATGACCATTTTGCCCCTACAGTTGACTGTAGTGCAATTTAGGGTTTTGACTGTGCAATCTTGAGCTGAATGCCTTGAAATTTGATATGGGGATGCTTGACCATGTTTGTAAGCATGTGAGACTTGATTGAGCCTTTGAACACTTCCTTCTCTTGATCAGACTCAAAACCCTAGTTTTGACTGTATAGGAGACAGTTGAACTGCATAACCCTTGGGGAATTTTGTGACTTGGTTTGGCAATTTCTTGAGGAATATGGGAGGGCAAATTTTGGGGTATAACAGCATACATAACATATCAAGTTGGAGTTGATGTTCGGTAAGTTGGCCTGGATTGGCAAATTAAGTTGAAGGCTTATGCCTTGTTGACGCCTCTATTAATTAGCGGATTTTTAAGCTCGGAGTTTTGCTCCATTGGTACCACATGCATGTGCATTGTAACGAGTTGTATTATGTGTTGCATAATTAAGTTATTGTGTTATTGACTTGTGATGATTGATGTTGGTTGAAAGTTGTGAATGATGATTTTATATAATCTGATCTAATATATTATTTATCATACACTCAATTATATGGTTCGATATCTCACCCATTCTGTTTGAATGTTGTCCTCTGTTGGTAACGTGCAGGTAATCAAGAAGGATTGTTGTTACCTTCGTTAGTCTGAGTCGGTGTTGTCGCTCTGATACGTAGCATTCGGGGGGACGAGCGCATGTTTTCTTTCTTGTTGATTTTCATTATGTTGATGAATTTTTAAGTTATTTTCATTAAAGACTTGTTGTCTTAAAGTTGTTTTGAGTATGACAAGATGTTATGGTGTTTTCAGTTGAATTTTGTGAATCCGCTACTTAGTAATGAAAGTTGTTTTATTTTTAAAGACTCAGCAGGTTGTTATCGCTTCGCCCGAAATATTGTGTTATGTAACCGATTTACAGGTGATTGTTTGTCGTTGTTTTAAGTTGAAAGTGCAACATTCCATATGTTGTTGGAAATTTTGAAACTCTGATTTTATATAATTCGTTGGATAGAAATGGGATGTTACAATAAACCCTAACATACCCATCATTATACGATACTCTTACAAAGTTGGAATCCCACCCTTACCTTAGATTGATGGTACCCAAGTTTCAACAATGGATTTCTCTTGACCTAGCTCTTTCTCACCTTCGTGCTTCTACTTCTCTCAAAGTACGATTGTTCCAGTTGATACGATTCAACTCTCTATTCTTCCCTTTTTACTAGATTAGCCTTTAGACCCCTAATATGACATTCCTTCCTTACTCCCACCAAACCTCATGACAATTATCATCTTGCCTATACCTTTTCTACACATTTTATTTTATTTATTTAATAAATAAATTCTAAACAATTATTCTTAAATCCAAATAATTCTAACTAAATTATTTAAATTAAAAACAATTCTTACTAATATTTTAATCTGACATTATCTCCCACATATCAACATCAAACCACCTATTACGTCATATAATTCACAAACAACCACTCAAATAATAAATATAATATTCGGGACATTATAGGGTTGGTTAAAGGGATGAGGAAGTATCAAAGCTATTCTGGAGGAATTTACAGTTACACAAGAGTATTTTGAAACATAAATCCAAGGTTAAATGGATAAAAGAAGGGGGACTCTAATTCCATATTTTTTTCAAACACATCTCTAAAAGCAAGAACGATGAGGAATTAGTTGGTAAGCGTTAATACAGATCTTGATAGAACTCAGAGTGTAACCGGAGTGAAGGAGGAAGTGAGAAGGTTCTTCGAAGTACAGTTTAAAGAAATAGAGATAGCACGACCTTTGTTGGATGGTGTCAATTTTGATCAATTGTCGGAGGAGGAGGTTTGGCATATAAAAGAGGTTTTTACAATGGAATAGATTAAAGGTGTAGTGTGGGAATGTGATGGAGATATATGTCCAGGGCCTGACGGCTTCAACTTCAATTTTCTTAGAAATTGCTGGAATTCCATATCTACCGATGTTTTTAACTTCATTAGGGATTTCGTATTAAAGTCAATCGACCTAAATCAATTTCAGTGTCCTTCATCAGTCTTATACCATAGGTAGACAACCCCAGTTGTTGGGTGAATATAGACCAATAAGTTTGGTTGGAAGCTTATATAAAATCATTGCAAATCTCCTGGCGAATAGGTTCACTAATACAAAAAGTACTTTTCATAACGCCACCAAATTTATTTCACCACGATCAAAAGATTCACCGTGGTAGAATCTATTCAAATAGGCACTTTCATTTTTTATATTTTATTAAAAGACATACAACAACAGTTGTTTGATACAACAATTGTTGTATGTAATGCATGGTCATGAATTCGAATCTTATTGTTGTTGTTGTTGTTCTACTGCTGTATTTTTTATATTTTATTAAAAGGCAAACAACAATGACATAGTTGAGTCGCATTACATAAATGAGTTATATATATGTTATATGTTTTATGTGTGATTGTTGAATTGGGTGTGAGAATGTCACTATAACAAATAATCCTTTTCATGACGAAGCTTTCACATCATCTAGAAAAAAAACCGAAGTTTCATTCCAAGGCGTGCCATATTTTATTTTTTTTATTTAAAAAACAACTTGATTCCTCGGTTATTTTAAAAACCAAGGCGATATATCATTTCGGACATACTTCGAATGTCAGCTATTGTCTTTATGTTTTTATTAGTTTACAAGTGTAAAAATAAATGATCTAACCCTTCGATTTCTTTGATAACCCGAAGAATAAAATGATCATATTTTATTATAAAAGCATTCTTTGAACATATTTCACCATAATACTAACTTATAGTTTCACAACACACAATCAAAACAAATGCTGTTAAATTGCATACAAAAAATAGTACATAACACCGAAAATAGAAATTTCAACAAGTAGATAACAATAGCAAGATTGACCTCATAAAGAGGACTTTAGGTTTTATTTTAAAACTCAAAGATAGTGTTGTAATTGCTTCATTTGTAAAGTTCAATGACTCCTAAACAAGAGAAAGCACGGCAAGCAACATGGAATTTGGAAAATCCAGAGAGTTTTCCCAAATTCAGATATTGTTTCTCAGTTCTTTCCCTTCCACCAACAGTGATAAACATGAGATTGTCAAGAGTTGAAACAAGTTTTGATTCTTGAGTTGATGTTGGTTGTTCTGGCAATATGAATTCCACAAGAATGACTTTCCCATTTGGTGACAATGCTTTGTGACAAATGGTTAAAAATTGAATGCATTTATGATCAGACCAATTATGACATACAGCTTTTAGTATGATGGCATCACCTTGTGGAACACTTTGAAACATATCTCCTCCAACATGGTGAATACCTGGAATTGGTGGTGCATTTTCAATAACCTGTGGCAGATCAAAATTAATTCCCTTAATTGATGGATATTTGGATATAATCATTTTCAGATTTTGTCCACTTCCACCTCCAACATCAACCAATGTTGATATTCCATCAAATCCAGTGTATATTTCAAGCATTCTTTTCATCTCCGTTGCACATACATCAACCATTGACTTGTTAAATACTTGGTTCATTTTTTTATCTTGTCCCATGTATTCATACTTTGTCACTCCATGTACTTTCTTGAACAAATCAATGTCTTCATCAACCACTGCTTCCTTAAAATTCATCCTGAATAACAAAACAAGTATTTCTTTATACAAATTTATATAGAGTTATAAAATATTATAAAAGAACTTACCAAACTTGTAACAATGCAGGATAACATAGAAATGTAGTGAATGAAGCCAAGTAGCCTCTAGTTTCATCAGGGACAAGGTATTTTCCTACCGACGAAAGTCCATAGACAATCTCAGTGCTACCGTTGTGAGCAGTTCGAGTAGAGGAAGTGAGAAGGGAATAGCTAGTGAGCAAACGCAACATTCGGTCGAGCCTATTAGACAAGTCGGAGTGTTGGGTTGATGATGGGAGATGAGAAGCAATTTGTGATGGGGAGATGAAAGCACCAGGGGGTGTTGCATTAGAAATAATCTCAAATAAATTGAGATGAACAGCAGCATTTAAGACAGCAGGATAAACAAGATTAGTGGTAAGTACCATTGCTGAAAGGCAAGCACTGTCTTCAGAGGAGACATTGCTTTTGTTATCTTCCTCTTTAGTAAAGTTGGTATCTCCCATTTTCTTTTGATAATAGTACTATTCTTGTTCTTGTGTTTGCATGGTTTCATAGTGTGCTATGTATCGCTATTTATAGGCAAAATAAAAGACTTTGTGGTAGCTAGCTTCCAGGATTTATATCTACTCCTTAATTATACTTGGTTGTGTTATGTCACAGGTAACGACGCTCCCTGTTTTCTTTTGTATTTAACTTTTTGATTTGTATAATACTTAATCATTATTCATGCATGGCTAGTTGTTAGCTTTCTCAATTACATATATAATATTCTTTCTTGTAGTTCCCATTTACCTTAGTCTTAATCCTTTAGTAAATGCTAAAAAAATTTAATAGTAAAACAACTCTAATTAATAAAATATAAAATTTGGTTCATAAAATTATAAACTTGATTAATCATACAATCTATAATATATAAAAAATCATTCTACTCAAAAAGTTTGTTTTGTCCTTTTTTCCAAAAACACAACACGTGGATAGCATATTTGTGGTTCCAATTTCATATGTTCCAAATGTCTATCCTGATTTTTTTCTAAAAATTTCATTTTGTTTTCTCAAAAACTCTCTACCAATCAACACAAGGCGGTTGTGAAATTGAGAATTCAAAACAGTTTCTCCATCATTAATCTACTCTTCCTCTCTCTTCCTCTTCCTATTCCGTGCGCGTTCTAAATCGTTCCTACAACCGCCACACTATTTCTCCATCCACCTACTATCCCTGTTTCTTCCAAACCCTAACCCCCAAAAACCCTTACTTCCACCACTGTTTCATCCTCTCCCATAAAACGGAAACGGAAAAAATGAAAACAGAGTTCGAAGGAATTGAACGAGAGAGAACTAATCGCATTTCAATGCCATCAGGTTTTTTTTTACGATTATTTATAAAATTGGAGCGTAACATTTATAGTATTGTAGTTGTTGTACCCCAAAATTTGCCTCTCATTTCTCAAGGAATCACCCTGGATCCTCAAGTGTCCTTCCATCCAATTCCAAGCCTTGAATTACAAATTTTCCAAGAATATCACTCACAAGGGCAAAACGGTCATTTGCACATTGAAAAGTCTAACTTTGACTTTTGATCAAGATCAAATCTCAAAAATCATAATTCATCAAGACATGTTGAAATATGAAGTTTGTTTCATCAAGGAATTCAAAAGTTAAATTTTACTTTGGAAAAGTCAAATTCTAAATACTTAGAAATTTTTCTAAGTGTTTAAGAAATATGACAATTTCAGAACTTCTGACCAGATTATCACCATAACACTCAGCAAATTCTAGACACTCTCAAGGCAGAGTTTGGTCAGAACTTCTGGGCATGTTTTCATAAAAGCTTCAGTCAGAGTTTGCCAGCGTAATCCAAAGAAGGTTAAGAAGCGTGCTGCAAGCTTCTTAGAAAGGCTGAGAGCTCCTTCAGAACATGTTAGAGCCAGAAGATAAAAGGATCAGAAGATTGGATGCTACGCTAAAGCAGAACTTCTGATCCAGAACTAAGCCGTGGTGTAGAATATCACGTTGCAGGATTTCTGGTTGTGATAAGTCACATCATCATTTAATGCTCACAACCACTTTCTGAGTCTTTATCCAAAGGATTTTCACCATGTGTACCTCTATTGTCTTGGGATAGCAAACTTTGGTACTAGGCCCATGCTTTGCTTTTCACTTTTCCTTAATTCCTGCTGACAACCACCATGCTTGTTTCAAGAACAAGGCAGCGTTTTAGCATATGGAGGCTATGTTCAACGCTTTGGTCATAACTTGACAAAACCCCAAAACCTTGTTTATAGAACTCACTCCAGACCTATAACAAAACAGCTAATTCAGCCTACGCCTGCATCCCATAATTGCACCAAACTAGCATACGAAAACAGTGATGAAAAAGCAAGGGAGCAGGATGTTAAATTGATTTAAAATCCCATTTGTCTTTCCCCCCAAAATCACAACAAATTAACCTATAAATACTTTGCTCCATCACACGTTCAAGGGGCTGGGCTTTGAAGGAGGGGATGACTTTGGAAGAGAGATTGGCAAAAAGGGAGAAAAAAAGAAGTTGAAACCTTCATAAAAAAATCCAGAAATCCCAAACAGAAAATCAAACCTTTGTTCTTCCTTTTGAATAAAAGAGCTTGGCACTTCCTCTTCCGTTACTCTTGCTGATTCCAGAACATCCAAAGGTAGCAGCTCAAAGCTCCAAGCCCACGTTCCAAGTTCAAGGTAAGTCTTTCTGACTTTGCATTCTTTCATTCAGAACATCATTAAACATGTAAATATCATAGTATTGATTTTGTCTATATCATTGCATGAATAGAAAAACTATGAGTCAGAACTTCTTGATTAAGGCTAGGCTCAGGATCAAGACTAGAACTTCTGTAAACTGTTGTGTTTTTTATCCTTCTGATTTGCTGTTTGTTGAAAACTGAATAGATTACTGATGTGCTGATTGAGAGTTAAAATATAGCATAAAACTTCTGATGTTCATCCATAGTCTTAACATACAAAACTTCTAGGATTTTCTCACTGTTTAAGCACGTAGAACTTCTGAGTTCTCTTCACTGTTTTAACACACAAAACTTCTATGATTTTCCTCACTGTTAACACACACTGAACTTCTGATGCTTACATGTTGATAACGCATCAAACTTTCAATGTTCACTCGCTGGCTCAACACAATTCAGAATTTCTGATGATTCACTCACTGTTCTAACACAACACGGAACTTATGAGTTCTCCTTACATGTCAAATACACTAAACTTCTGATGTTTCCACTCGCTGTTTTCAAACACTCAGAGTTTCTGATTTTTACATGCTGATAACGCACTGAACTGCTGATATCTCCTCACTGTTTTAGTGTAATACAAAACTTCTGACTTGTAGCCCACTGTCTAAATACCACCCTGAATTTTTGTGTTTTCCCTCTAACATTTCTTGCAGGACCTCAGAGTGTACCAATCCAGAACTTCTGATTCCATTGACGTTCCTTTCAGAGTCATCATGCGCCTGGCTTCAGAACTTCTGATCCCCGTTGGTTTTGCTTGCAGTAGCACGCTATTTTTGTCTTTCATTTATTTCCCTTTTCATCATTTTTAATATTAACATAAAAAGAAATAAAAATATTTTATTTTATTAATTTATTTATTTCTTTTTCATTAAGACAAAAACATTTTCTAAAAAAGTCCATTTCTTTCTTATATTATGCATTTCAATATGGTTGTAATAGATAATTAGGACTTAAACTCCTTGCAACCCCCATTTGTAAATATGTATCCCCCATCCCTACAATATTGTAATAGCGTAAGACTTTATATTTCTGCAATTTATCGCTTTCGAATGGAAATTCTAGTAATTAGGGTGTGTATGGCAAGATAAAAACAACAAATAGACAATCCTAATCAAGACTAAAATGCATGTAATCAAACACACTTGCACACTAGCACCCCTAGGGTAATCCCACTTGTTGCCTGTCGGAAAAATAGTCATGTCCCTCGAACATGGGAGTTTTAGCAAAGACCCTCGATAAAAGATCGTAGTCCCTCGATGACCCTCAATGTTGCCTTCGGTAAATGATCTAGTCCCTAAAACGACATTGCTAAAATGTCCCATAGGTTGCCTATCATGATTATACGATGACCCGCGCCCGTCCCTTCACATCCAACGATGAGGATTCTTGCCAAAACAATGGTAAGATAGCAACACCTAAAGGAGGAGGAAAAGCACATTTAAGACCTTTCGAGTAGGTAGATTCTCTTTTAGTTGCTCGCTTGCTCACAACAAAAACATTTCATGCACCAACACTCTCACTTTGAAACATTTTCAAAAGACAAACACTTTGTACACATTCTTATAGAAACGAGAACCATTCACTACTACGAAAATGGGCTTTCACAGTGCTTTTTTTTGCCCTTTAAAAGCGCTTAAAAGCGCTGCCGTAGCCAGCGCTGGCGTAGGCTACGAAAGCGCTTTTTTCTGGCCAAAAGCGCTGTCGTAGGTGGACCTATCACAGCGCTTTTTCCTTAAAAAGCGCTTTGATAGGGGGGTCTTTCCCAGCGCTTTTTGAAAAGCGCTTTGATAGGTGCGCTATTTAAATTTTTTTTTTTTATTTATCAGGCCTTTTACAGCGCTTTTTATGGAAAAAGCGCTTTGATAGGGGGGTCTTTCCCAGCGCTTTTTCCATAAAAAGCGCTTTGATAGGGGGTTTCTATTTAATTTTTTTTTTTATTTATCATGGCTTTTACAGCGCTTTATGGAAAAAGCGCTTTGATAGGGGGGTCTTTCACAGCGCTTTTTCCATAAAAAGCGCTTTGATAGGGGGTTTCTATTTAATTTTTTTTTTATTTATCATGGTTTTTACAGCGCTTTATGGAAAAAGTGCTTTGATAGGGGGGTCTTTCACAGCGCTTTTTCCATAAAAAGCGCTTTGGTAGGGGGTTTCTATTTAATTTTTTTTTTATTTATCCTGCCTACGAAAGCGCTTTTTAGCCAAAAGCGCTTTCGTAGCTCATACAAATTTTTTAAAGTGAAACCTATAATTTGAGGTTCCCTGTGCGGCCTGTAATTTTTTTTTGGTCCAATAATTTAACCTGTAATTCAATCCTTATAATATTCACAGAAACCGGTATTATATTAACAGAAACCGGTATACCATATAATACATTTGTAACCATAACTAAATCCTTATATACATATGTAACTAAATCAGATACAAAGTATATATACATTTGTAACCATAATTCAATCCTTATATACATTTGTAACCATAACTAAATCACATACAAAGTATCGTGTTAATTTGTAACCATATATATATATATACATATGTAACTAAATCATATATAATTACATCGAAAATAATGCTCCACCGACACGGTCGTCATCCTGCAAAGTATGAATATGAACAACACGGTAAATTAAACAAACAATATTAAAGGCTCCAACACAATCAAACTAACACGTACAATAATATTTTATTCATACCCATCAGAATAATCTGTTTTCAACATAAAATTGACA